CATTGGCTATCTAAGTATAGCTAATCATATGTGTGAACCATCATCATGTGTTGGGTCAGTAGTCTAATCTTGTGATGATTACCTGAACGACCGTGTGTGTCTCTAGTACAAATGGGGAAAAATCTTGTGTGAACGTATGATAGCCCATTTGCCATGCTTCGGATAAGCTAGACACCTGACTAGTAGCAGTGTCACCATGCATTACGCTATCCTTATCTAGATAGATATCTAATCAGATGACATGTAGATCATCTAAACGCTATAGATAAGATAGACGCCATGAAATTCTGTGACAATATCCTCCACAGAAATCCCCCAATACTCCACACTTCCCAGAAGTTCATCATCTAAAATACTCACATAGAGGTCAGCATCCATCTTTCCCTCAATCTTGTATGCATTCCCCACTCCATTCCAGCCTATACAATCCTGTATCATCAAGTTTCCCCCTCCAAACTTAAGAGTTCCCTCTATCAACCTGTCACTGAGCCCTTCTCCTGGCTTTTTCCATACCCATTTTCTTCTATCTGAGCCCAGGTGATTGATTCTAGTCTCATCAGACTATACCACACCCTTCTAGTCCTCCAAAGTCCAGTGCTGATGAGCAAGTGCAAAGTCCATCCTCTCCTTTCAATGGTGCTTAGAGAGAACTGGCCTTTTACACTTTACCACTGCCTTTAAACTTGTTCTCCTCAGCTCTCTCCTGATGGTCCTAGGTGAAATAGACCCCTCCACTACATTTCTGAGCCTTTTCCCCACATCTATAGCAGTGTTAGCCTTTCCAGAGCTGATAAGGTAGATAGCATAGCAAATTGCAGCAGGAGAAAGCTTAGAGGAGCGGCCTCCAGTGGCTTTCAGAAGGTTGGGACAAAGTCTGGCATGTATTCTGCTGACAGTAGAGTAGTGTACACCAGTAGTATGGAAAATCTGCCTTGATGACTAGCCCAGATTAAGCAAAGAGAGGATGTTGTCAGTCCAAGCATTGGAAAGTGCTTTCATGATAATGGTGGTCAAGAACAAGGGGCTGTTTGGGGTTGTTTGTGTCCTCCTTACACTTCCATGTTATCACATGACATATTTCCCACACTACATATTTTTTACAGGCAAAACAGAATAGATTTCTATAGTCAAATATACAAGGGACAAAACTGTTGCAATAGGTTTAGGGTAACAATTCATCAATACCTTGGTCAATACCTAACCAAATCACATGTTTGTGGAATATTTCATATAGCCCAGATCCTAGGCCTTCCAATGGTACCCATATTTACTATATTTGAATGGTTGGTTCATTAGATATAGGCCTAGCAACACAACTGTTGCAAACATTGCAACACTTTTGTCCCCTACTGTAGATAGGAATGATAGGAGCAATAACTGAGATAAATCAGTGATGTGAACATTGACAGATAGATGTAAGTGAAACTGATAGATGAGGATTGTTGTCAAGGGACCTGACAACTGAGGATCAGGAGTTCCACTTAAGACTACTACTGACAAAGGTACTGCTTACACATAGCTTGACACACTATACTAGAACTAGACTTATGGACTGAGCCACTGCAACTGACAGTGGTTTGAGAATGGATACTGGTTGAAGCAATGCTTCAGAATAAGACTTGAATAGACAACTGAGTCTATTACTGAGGACTGTCCCTATAAAGTGTACATAGGGAACAAGAGGACAAAACTAAAGTACAGTAGTGCTGATAGGCCCGCATAGCACATGGGCATGCTTCAAGTCAAACTCAACATTCGAAGCATTTGAAGCTTCCACCTTCAGGAAAGCCTGCAATACCTCAACACAAAAACATCTTCAAGCAAAGCCCGTCCTTTGACATCTTTGAAGCTTCGTGACCTCACTACGGTCCAATTGGAATCTTTTAGTGGTGGCTTTATTCTGGGGGCTCAACTTCGAGGGCAAATCCCCATCATCAAGAGACTGAGACACCCAATACAGGGCTGCCAGGCAAACCTTTAGGTTGGTGTGCTTGGGTTGCAATGCCAAAATTTGCAACAGTCAGGCCTCCAAGACTAGCAGGATGTAGCATGTGAGACGGGAGTTGAAACTGATGAAGGCGTTGGATGGGAGTAGGAAGGGTATTGGGATCATTAGGCATGGTCAGGGCAGTGGAGGTGGTGACTCAGGCTGTTACAGCTTTGAGGGGGGGTTTCTTTCTTTTTCCTGACTATTCATCATTGACCCTGTACTATACAACTGATCTCATCACTTGATATGTTTCATCGACATCAAAGCATTTCATATCTATCACTTGTCACCTGTCTCCTGTCTTACCTACATC